CCTAACTACTCAGGGATCAGGATTCGAAGCTAGCCCAAGCAGGAAAGTTCATAAGACTCTTATCTCCACTTAGCAATCCAAAAAGCTGGAAATGGAGTTGTGGCTCAAGTAGTAGAACACTAGCCTTGAGAAAAACAACTCAAGGACAGCTCCCAGTCCCTAAATTCAAAATTCAAGCCTAGGACCAGCACACACACACACACACACACATACACACACACGCACACTAGTAGGAAGACACACACACACACACACACACACACTAGTAGGAAGACTTCCGAGTATTTTTGTTGTTGCAATATTGCTTTGATATAAGCATTGACAGATGCTCTTATATCTCAGAATATAAAGAGGAAACAGCAACTTTTATTAGTCTTTTTTTTTACTTTCATTAGTCTTTAATCACTGTTAAATTAGCTTTTCTCATCTCTTAACATCCCTTAACATTTTTTTAGACTCTGTTGAAATATTCTACCCCAGAATGAACTTCCCCTCCAGAGCAACTCCATGCTTTGGCCTTTGCAGGAGAGGAGAGGTAAAAGCAGCAGCCAACAGTCTAGGACAACTGTGTACTTTCTAATCTCTTCTTGGTATGGACCTCACTGAACATCTGGTAAAGATATGGCACCTTTCCTATAACTCCCCATTCATAAATACATATTTCTGCTCAATTTCACATGGCTCTATTCACCTTACCTCCACCCCAGAAATGTTATCCTGTCAAGAACTTGAGGCATAGAGAAACTTGTCTTAGGGGAAAGAGGTAGTAAGAGTTGAACTCAGGACCTTTCACTTGCTAGACACTTTGCCATTTGAGCCACAATGAAAGAGTAAATTAGTTAGGACTCAGGCACCCAAGACAGCATTTTGGCCTAGCAAGCCAAAATCAAATGCAAAAGAGACAATGTTTCAAAATATCTTGCCTTTGACCTTCCCTAAACCCTTCTAGCTTCAATAACTTGCTCATAACCCTGAAGAAATTTGCAAAAGGAACTTGATTAGGAAATTAACAGCCAAACAGAATGTTGTGAGACCATACTAATAAAGTGTTGCCTTCCAAAAATACCTCAGTCTAACAGAGGCAACTAATAAGAGCACAGCTCAGAGTTTAAGAACCCCTACACTCAGAACCACCAAAATACAGTGTTGCAGATACCCAGAGACAGAAAAAGCCACCTAAAGAAGAGAAACTGGATGACTGACAAAATTCAGGATGGATAGACAGAGCAGTTGCTGCCACAATCTTCAAATTAGATACCTCTCCACTGAACTGGACTTCATTGAATTCCTGAAACCATACCCTGAGGAGACTCAGCAGCACTAGCAGTGCAACTGCAACATGGATAAGCATTGCCTAGCACTGAGCTGCAACATCGGCAGACATTTAAATCACACCTCTAGCCTGACACTTTCCGTCCATTATTATGGACACAGCATCTCAGACTTCTCTGCCCATCCAGCTGGATTCCAAACATGATCCTCAGCCTCGTGATAGGATTATAGGAGTGAGTCACCAGCACCCAGCTCACATCATTTTTTTATTGGCTGACTGAATAAATGAAGGAAGGAATCAATGATGAACCTGCAAGCACTAACTATCCAAATTACTCCTAAGCAAGCTATTTAACTTTTTTATTCTCCCAAGTTTCTCAGAGAAAATAAAAACTTGGCCCAGAACTGTTTTGATAGTAAGTGGAGAAAATGACAATTAACAACAACCACAATAACACCTATTTACAGATCTCTCTACCTAAGTCATATTAATAACCAATTTTTTTAGATGATTTCCACTTTATAAATTTTTTTTAAAGTTACACAAGCTGAACACTGGTGGCTCACACCTGTAATCCTTTCTGAGATCTGAGTATTGTGGTTCAAAGACAGCCTGGGCAAGAAGCCTGTGAGAGTCTCATCTCCAATTAGTCCCAGAAAAACCCAGAAGTGGAGCTGTGGCTCAAGTGGTAGAATGCTAGCCTTGAGCAAAAGGAGCAAGGACAGTGCTCGGGCCTAGAGTTCAAGCCCCAGTACTAGCAAAAAAGAAAAAAAATGCAAAGGTTCACTGGTCCCTAGTCTCAGAGGTAGTAAATGACAGAGCCAGGATTCATACTCAGCATGATTGAGAAACTGTATTCCTAGGACTACATATCCAGTGCATAATAAATGCTCAATAAAGTGCTAATTAGATTGTGGATGAGGTTGGAAATATTTTCTAAAAGAACCCTAATAAGTAGTTTAGTTTTTTAGGCCATCTGGTCTCTGTTGAAGTCACTCAACTATACCACAATAGCACTAAATGCATTCATATAAACTTCACTAGCCAAAACATGCTAGTGGCCAGATTTGACCTGTACATCATAATTTGTGAACCTTGGTTGCAGATCAGCATGGATAACTAATGCTAAGAGATGTTCACCCTACGTTGCATAAAAAGTTCATTACTAAAGAGGAAATAAGTAGAGTTATGGCTAAAGAAGTACATTACTAAAGAGGAAATAAGTAGAGCCATGGATAAAGTAGTAGAGTACCACCTTTGAGTAAAAATGCTAAAGGACATCATGTAGGCCTTAAATTCAAACCCCAGTAGTAGCAAACAAAAAAAACCTACATTAAATAGTAAATAATACCTCATTTTTAAACATACACAAGCACACAAATAAAACTAGATATGTTAGTGTATACCTCTGGAGGTTGAAGCAGGAGGATTCAAGTCCAAGGCCACTCTGGACTATTAGTGAGAGCAGTCTTAAAACATAAAACAAGCAAAAAACACACATGCGCATGAGCGTGCTCACACACACGCACACACACACCCCAAATATCAAACTAAACAAATGACTAGTAATGATTTACTAATGACTACTTGTAATCATTACTGGTAATGGCTACCTTTTCTTCTGGGTTAGCTACATTTTCCATGCCCACATACTAAATGTTTAGTTTCCAAGACACCACAGAGTCTTGCAGAAACTCTAAAGTGAGTCCAATGGTGACAATAGCAATAATACCAAAGATGATGATATGTCTTCTACAGAGGGTTATCTTGATGATTTCATTTCAAGGTTCCAAAGATGGTGATAAACCTGGTGGATTTTAACTGCAGTGTTCAGGTCAGCTTTGAGCTTAGTATAGCACATTTAAAATTATAATTACATCTCTCTTACCTTGGGATTCCCCAGCATGAAAGAAGAAAGGGGATTTGTTCTGGACGCTTCATGCCAAGATAACATTGTCTCTAAGCACTTGCCCACACCAGACAGAAATGTACAAACTGGGCACCAGGTCTCAGGCCCCTAATTCTAGCTATTCAAGAGGCTGAGATCTGAGGATTATGGTTCAAAGCCCTGGCAAGAAAGTGTCTAAGATTCTTATCTCCAAATAATCACCAAAAAGCTGAAAGTGGATCTGTGGCTCAAGTGGTAGAATGCTGGCCTTTAGCAAAATAGCTCAGGAACAGTGTCCAGACCCTGTGTTCAAATGCTAGGACTGGTACATGTGCACACACATGCACAGAGTACAAATAATCCTAAATCACTTACATGATTAGCTGGCCCTACTTGTTTTCAGCATGTTCATGTTCCCAGTCTCTTGGAAAGCTTATACTGTTTCCACAGAGGAATAGAAGCTGCTTAACTGATAAACAAAATCCTGCCTCTCTGAAGTAATTTCAGACACATTGGACATGAGATGGGAGTCTAAAATTCCAGACTGGGCTTTCAATCAAATTTACCCTGGGAGACGTTTAAATGTTCTCTGATACCACATTTTACTTCCCTTTTACAACATAGACTTTTATGTTTTTTTCATAGACTTTATAATGCTTACTATAGGTATAAATGCACTTATGTCAATTAGGGAAAGTGATCTGTAATGAGTTAACTTTAAAATTATCTTCTATATATTTCACCTTTACTTTGTTTCCCCACCAACAAATCCATTGTCTGAGAGCACATGGGATATTAGAATCAACAGATGTATAGTGTTTCTACTATCTGGCAATGCTTTGTCTCAGCTTCCATTGTTCTATTCATTGGACCTTCTATGAATGGACAAAGTTTCCTTCTTCCTACATTAAACATGCTAGGTGTCCCAAACCTAGTTACAATTACATTTTGAAGAGTATAATGTTTTGCCTTGTGCATTCATCCACTCATTAAATATTATTAAGACTGCTAGACACTGATGCAGTACAAGCACCTTTCAAGCCACAACTCTGTCCCACTCAACAAATTTGCCTCAGTTCCCTTGACGACTTTCATAGACTAATTTTATCTGAGCTGGGCTCTTCTGTCACTATTTTTCTGCTCCAGAGCCTTCAGCATTTGACCCATTTTCCTGAACATTAGGACCACCATGGTGTTCCTATACAGCTATGGAGAGATAGTTTGCCTCCCTGAATCCCTGGAGAATTACATCTTAAGAAGAAAGACAAAGAAATGTTCAAAGTTTACTTGATAGCAGCTTCCTGGAGAAGCTGTTATACCTCAGAGATCCCAAAAGCTTCCTGGTGATTCCTGCCTCGAACAGCTTTTAGTTCTAAGAACTACTCCCCACATACTTGTACAAGGAGCTGGAGTTTTAGTGATTGTTCAAAACAAAAATTAACCTTGCCATGAGTTCTGCCAAGACACTTCTTTAATTGAAGATGAAACTGTCAACACAAGTATTCTTTAAAACAAAAGTTCTTATAACGAAAAATGTATTGTTTAGGGCTTTTCTTCTTTCAAGATTCAAAGGTATTTTACTCATATTATTACAATCCTCTTTTTTAAAAAAAAATTCAATAAGAAAATCATTTTAACTGTCAAAGTCAATAAAAAGATGAACTGTCCAACTGTTTTTCAACTGATTTCTTAATATGATTTTGTAAAGGAAAGTCACAATGAAATATGTACCCAACATAAACCCACTGAGGATACAAACTCTAAATTCAATTAGCTCTGAGACTGGAAAGTTTTAGAAAGAGTCTAAGCTTCTCTTGAAATTCTAGGCTGGTTGAAATTCTACACGGCAGGAATGAAATAGTGAAGAGAGACATTTTCATGAACCACCACAAGATGAAGCGCGTTGCTCAAAATATTGCAGAGGATGCTTGTGGGATGGATCTGCTGTCCCTCGAAAAACTGCAGCAGCTTCTTACTATCTACCCGCACTTGCACCATGCGCTCTGCGTCTTCGTCTCCTCGAGGTGTATCCGGGGCAGGCTTGGGAGGATTATCAAGATGGTTAAAATGACTCTGCACACAAACGGTATCCGTCTCCACACTCAAGTTCATGCTGCCGTGCCAATTTGCTTCCACCAGCACGTGACTGCTCATGTGTGCCATCTTTTCCACGATGTTCTTCAGGGTCTTCGAGGCAGGCAGACACACGCTCATCTCCGGAGCATGAAGGACGGGCTCGGGACACTCTGCCCACCATCGTATGGGAAGCACGCGGACCGGGACATCGTGGACGGCCTTGCGGACGCTGCCGGACACCGACAACAGCTCCACCGACAGCGTGAGGCAGGGGCAGTGCTTGTTGGTCAGCTGGAGCTTCAGCGAGGTGGCTTTCACGGCGCTCCGCGCCGCGCGGGACCACAGGTCGGCCTTCAGCTCCAGATAGATCTCGCGGAGCTCCTGGGACACGCCCTGCATGTGGAACTGGCCGAAGACGCCCCGCCGCACCTCGCACCACAGCTGCGCCTCGCCGGTGGCCATGGGGCCTGCGGGGCTGAAGCACAGCTTGTCTTCCGACACGCGGAGCACGCAGACCTTCGCCAGCCTCCCCACGGTGACACTCACCTGGATGAACAGCTCAATAAAGTCCCTGCTGGTGATCTTGGCACGAAACCGCATGGTGACACGATGGCGGTGGCGGCAGCGCTCTCTGAGGAGCCAAGCACACAGCACGCCTTTCCGCGCTCCTCAGCGGGCACTTCCTTCCGGGCTCCTTGGTACACACTTCCGGTCCCCTCAGTATGTCTTTCCGGTCCCCACCACGCTTCCTTCTCGCCTTGTTTCCTGCCGCTGGCAAGGCTTGGCATCATCTGCCTTCAGGTCTGCTTTTGCCTGAGGCCATCCTATCTGTCAGCCCTCAACTCCCCTCCAGAGCTGCCTTACAAAAGGTCTTACAGCTACTTGAGTTATGAAAAGGAGAGCCCTGCACAGACTTCTAAATATTCTATACAGCATGGAGATAAGAGTATCTCTCCCATAACCAGTGCCTTTTAACTAGTGTGGGGTGATATAAGGTATTTAAGGTAATATACTATATAAGATTAAGATCTATAGATATATAATATACCCAGTATTGCAACAAGCTACAAATCTGTATCAACAGTCATCTCTGAAAACATGAGAAATAGTGTAAGAACCAAACCATTTAACTTTAAGCTCTTCCAGAAAATGCAGATTCACGCTTCAGACCTTCCTCAGGAAGAAATGAGACACATTTATAAAAATGAATTGAGTTTCTCTTTTTAAAAGCGTTAAGATACAATTATGGATTGAAGCTTGTTACATACTGTTCAAATGACAGTTACATATGAGCTAAAATCAAGCAGACTTGAATGTGGCTAGCATGCGCCAAACATGTCCCAGGTAGGCAATGTTCACTTGGCCAATGTTTCAGGCAGAACTTGAAGGAACATATTATGAAGCACTACTGTGTGTTATCTTGTTCCAAGTCTGGGCATCTTGAGCCAAAAACTGAGTAAAACATGCATAGGTAATGAGAGTTTTCTGAAGTAAAGTCGGAATACACTCCATAGAGTGGGAAGATGCCTGAGTAAGAGAGCTGTAAGGTCCCAAAGGAATAGTGTCTTGGACAATTTAAAAGTGGTATGAGTTGAACCAAACAAATTTATTTCAATAAAGCTATACTGTTCTTATACGCATGTTCATTTTGCTCAATTTTTGCTCAAGATAGTGAATCTGGGACCACACCTGGGACCACCAACCAATAACAGATTTTAGGAAATATGACAACTCCCTAAGTCATATGCTCCTGTTTGCCACTACAAAATCTAGACCACAAAACAACAGCAACAACACTGCATAGTACTGATTCCTTCTGATTTTGAATTTCTTTGCTATAACCTGTCATCCTTTAGTGTTTGGTATTATTCAGGGTTTGATAAATTCCATTCAATTTTTAAACATTGGTTATTTGTCAAGTACTTTTACTAAGCATAGGAAATTTCTTTTATGTGCTGCTGACTGTGCCCTAAAGTACCCTCAGCATGTCTCCTCGCTCTTGGAAAACACCTGGGGAATTATAGTCACATTGTCCCCCACATGCAAGGTTCAGCTGGGGCATAAAGACCACACTGGTGTGTGGTCTCTCAGTGGCACATTTCAAAGGTTGCCTCAGAGATCAAATTCCTGCTAACATTTTCAACACAGCACCATTAGAATATGAGTCTAGCAGAATATGAGCAGCTACAATGCCATTTTAGGCTCTTTAAAAAAAAAAAAAAAGGAAGTGGCTTAGTGGTAGAGTGCTTGCCTAGCATGCATGAAGCCTTCGTTACCATATGAACAGAAAAATCCAGAAGTAGCACTGTGGTTCAAGTGCTATCCTTGAGCAAAAGAAGCTCATGGACTCATGGACAGTGCCCAAGCCCTGAGTTAAAGCGCCAGGACTGGCAAATAAAAAAATGAAGTAAGCCGATGTAGCCATGCCCTCGAGTGCCTTGCCCTTGGGGGAAAATTTATGTATGTATGAATGTCTATATGTATTTATTTATTTATTAAACTTCCAAAGCAAATTATTACTCTGTTACACACATTTTTTTTTGTCTGTCGTGGGGCTTGAACTCTGGCATTGTTCCTCAGCTCTTCAGCTCAAGGTTAGTGCTCTACCACTTGAGCCACAGAGCCATTTCCAGATTTTTGGTGGTTTATTGAGATAAGAGTCTCACAGACTTTCCTGCCCAGGTTAGCTTTGAACTGCGATCCTCAGATTCAGCCTCCTGAGTAGCTAGGATTACAGGTGTGAACCACCAGCGCCTAGCCAGTTACACATTTTTAAAGTGTTTGTTTTTTTTTAATCAGAAAGATAGGCACAGGGCATAGAAGGAGGTGTTTCTTTGCAGTTTTAGGCTGCTTTGTATTTAATTATATTATAAAAATGTTTTAAGTAAAAGTCTCGTGTTTTTCTTATGCCATACTCAATAACTTTAGAGATAAGACAAATCTGACTTCTTAAAAAAAAAAAAACAACATAGGAGACTAGAAGGAACAAAACTTTACAGGAATACAATTCTATTATTACCAACAAGTATTCTTAACAAATACATGGGCTTCTTAATTACTTATCAACTGAGCTATACTTTTTTAAATGATCACTCACACCAGCATTTTTGCTACCAACAAAGAACCAAAGTGACACTTCCAGTTTCGTGAGAGTTATCTAACCATGATAGCCTTTCTTTTGATAGAGTTTAGGTAAATGCTGAAAGGTGAAACCATGATAGTTCGCAGTAATATGTCCCAGAAGTAGGAATTTCATGTGGGAAGCTGGTCTCTTACCTTCAAAGAACTGCTGCAGGGCCTCATTTTCACCCACCACATCCATGGTTCTTTGTCCCCGTAAAATGTGCTCTTAAAGCAAGGATTATCAAACCTCAGGAAGTAAAGTGCTGTCCTCTGAACTCAAAGCCTATGAATGCTCTTGAAAAATCTTCATCATCTTGGTATTGGAGTGGAATACATTTTCAGCCATCGACATGCCTCCAGATAGATGGTTAAGTTCTCAAATATGATTAAAAACCAAAAGGATATGCAACCCTATTTTAAAAAATTCACGAAGAGGGAAGTTGTAGCAGATCAATCTGTCTTAATGTGGGGAACTGTTTCTACTTTGTCTTTGTTTTAAGGACCTTTGTCCTTGGTGACACAGGTAATTACATAAATGGGTAATAAATGTATAGTCTTATCTCTTATTTGTCCTTTACACCAATCTATTTCTATCTCTACCTTTATCAACTAGATCCATTTAGCCACCATCAAGAAAAGATAGTTCTTTTTTAACCTAAAAAAGGGACAAATGAATATAATCACTTTTCTAGATAAAAGAGCAGGCAGTTTAAAAAGTCTCTGATAATGAAAAGTTAGTGAAAACTTACCTCAATACATACCTGTTCTGCCTCCTCTAGAGTTTATTTTCCTTAAAAGTGTAACGAAGCATGAAAAGTCTCTCTTATAAGCAACAAAGACTGCATTATCAATTTAATAATTTTTACAACAGAACATATGGCTCACTAGTTGTTTTCACTTGAAAATATGAAGCTAGACCCAAATAAATGGGCTTTCATCACTTAGCTGTAATTTATTGAACAACACTAAGAATGCAATTTAAAAAATTAAATGATCCTCCTAGTCACTTTTTTCCCAACCTAATATTTTGAAAAAAAATGAACCTGCAAAAAATAAGAATAGTATTATTAAATACTCATAACTTCATCTAATCATTATAATTTTCTTAATACTCTTGCTTTTTTCCTCTTAAAATATCAACTGTTTTTGCTGAGCCACTTGAAAATAAATTACTGATTATTCGTCACCCTAAACAATTCAGTATATATCCCACAGCCACAAGATCATTCTCATTGTTATGCCAAAGAAATCCAGTATTAATACTATTATCTTATATGTAATTTCCACCATTCTTAAAAACATCTTTTTTTTGGTCTTCTAGCCAAGAATCCAATAAACGTCCATAAGCTGCTTTTTCAAATATGGAATGTACCCTTGTTGCTTCAGTTACTGGGATGTTCATAATTTAGACTTTTTAAAAAGTCTAGACCCATTTTCATATAGAATTACCTTCTTCCTGAATTTGTGTATGGTTTCAACATTAAAAATTAGCACATTAAGCTGAAAAGCTCAAAAGCTATGTACCTATGTCCATATAAGATGATGCTAAGTGAAATGAACCCTAAGATATGGACACAAAAGGTCTGTCTTTACTGTTATTGTTTTAAATGTACTATGTGATCTCTTTTTTGTTTTCTTTGTATGTTCTTCCCCTTATGGCATATTCCCTGTTGTCACTGTACTTGATTTTGATACCCTGAATCTTGCATATACATTTGTCTAATCTGGGGAGGGGAAGGAGAATAACAAACGCTGAAACAAGGACACATTAAAACAATGATACCCACAGGACTATATATTGGAAATGAACTTTACAACTTTAGGCGGGGTGGTGGGAAGAAATGGGGGGTGGAGGGGGATAGGATAGTGGGACAACAAGGGAAGGGGTAACAATGATCAACAAGTACTCATTGCCTTACTCATGTAACTGTAACCCATCTATACAGCATCTTCACAATAAAAATTTTTTAAATTAGCACATTAAAACTGGTACATAAAACTATGTAGTACACTTCCAAACATGTACTTAATTTTTTTTATACAAATACATTGATCCTTGAAAATGCCCAAACTAAATTTATTTGGGTGGGGGAGGCTTTGAAGCCTCTTTTGAGGGCTACACTGGCCCCAGATCCATTAGGACATGTCATTTGAGTTGTTTAATGGAATGAATTTTCTGTTTGTTTCAACTTGTATGAAGCTGTCTCCTAGCTACAGGAAATAAAAAATAGATGAGAAAATAATGGTTCTTGCCTTCCATAAGCAAAAATAAGCTCAAATCCAGGTATAAGGAAAAACACAGTAACTATCTCAAGGCAGACAGATAAGATCTCAGGAAAATATTCCAACAAGAACTCAGGAAGGTAAGATTAATTTAATCTGGGAGGATCTGTCAAAGTGCCAAAAAGAATGGGCATCAGATGTCCTAGTGAGTACGTCTTTAAAAGTATGAGCAATTGTTTGAAGGGGAATGAACA